GCGGGGGCGGCAGCGCAGGGTCCCGCTGTCCCAGCCCAGGGTGACAGCTCTGCCCGTCCCCGGGTCACCCCAGGGCTGGTGGCACCGGTGGAGCAGGGACGAGGCAGAGGGTGGCCTGGTGCTGAACCCCATGCGTCTGGGGGGAATGCCCTGGCAGCACAGGGGAAGGGGCAGCCTGGGGCTGCAGCTGCCGCGGCCGAGGAGGGGGCGGCCCCACTGCCCCGGAATCTGCCCCCCAAGGAGAAGGGGGCCTCGGGCCCAGGGCCGATGGGGTAGCGTGGCCCAAGCTCTGTGCCCAGAGCAGGACACGGAGCAGGAGCAGAGCCCAGGGCTGTCCCCCCTCATCCTGCATGGGGGGTACCCCCCACTATGGAGACGGAGCAGCAGGGCCCGCCCAGGCACGGGTGGCCAGAGGAGGGCAAGGAGGGAGGGGACAGGGGCCCAGGCACAGAGCAAGAGGCCGGGCCCAGCAGCCCTGGACCCCGCAGAGCTCCTGCCCCAGTGCAGGGAGCAGCTCCTGGCACCGGGAGCAGAAGAGGCTTCCAGCACCTCAGCCCCGGCCCGGAGCACCCCAGAACAGGGCCCTGCGGGCAGCTAAGAGCAGGGCCCCTTGGCTCCCTTCCTCACGGGGCCGCAGGGACAGCAGCTCCTTGATCCACGACTGCTCCCAGCGCCGCGGGCTCCGGTCAGGCCCTGCGGGGAGAGGGCAGCGTTAGCAGAGGGCCCGGCCGTGCCCCGCGGCCGCAGGCGCCTGGTCCCCCGCTCACCCTCAGAGGCGGTAGCTCAGGCTGGCCACCTTGGCAGGGTGCGTCACCGACCAGAAGTTGCGCTTGCTCTGCAGCTGCTGGAAGGGGTTGAAGTGCCTCCTCCGCTCCCGCTTCGGCTTCTTGCACTTCTTCACCTGCGGGGAGGCAGGGGGAGGCTTGGGGTGAGCAAACAGCGCTGGCCCCGGTCCCGCCACCCCCCGCCAGCGCTCACCTTCCCTCTGTCAAACTCCTCGTCCCACTCGTCAATGACCGTCTCGTTGCGGGCCCAGGTCGCGTCCCGAACAGCATCCTGGCTCACGGCCGAGATCTCCCCGTCCCAGGTCAGAACTGCAGCGCAGGGGGCAGCGGTGACACAGGGCCGCGCTGCTCCGTGCCCTGCGGCACCGGCCTGGTGAGCAGGACCCGCTGCCAGACCAGCCCTTGGGCACCCCAGCTCCTGTTTTGCTCCTGCTGTGTCCATGCCCTGCTCCTCCTGCTCACGCTGCCCCACTCACCTCGCTTCCCATAGGCCTTGTCCAGGGAGTCCCGGAGCAGCTCCTGCACCACACTGGGCTCCTCCCGGCTAGGGGCAGCCGGGCCACGCTGGGACCCTCCTTGGGCCTGGCTGTCCCAGCCCCACGCTGCCACCGCAGGGACAGCGGCACAGGCTGCAGGGAGCACAGGGGTATCCAACACCGCACCACGTTCCACAGGACAGACCTCATCCCGGGACACAGCCAGGCTCCGGAAGGTCCCCGTGAGCCCCCTGCCAGCAGCAGGGCTGGCAAAGCGTGACCTGCCCGCCCAGGGTGGCACTGGGAGGGCTGTCCAGCCCTGGAGAGGGACCATGACCAGGAGTTTGGAGAGGGATCCCCTG